TATTTTAATACTTGTTAAATCAGTTTGATGAAAAAAATGCTCAACAATGAAAAGTACAAAAAAAAGTTTTATTGTAATAAGCACTGAAATTATAAATATATACTACTAGGAGTAGTTATTATTAATATAAAATAGGACAAAGCAAAATACAAGACAAAACGATTGAATTGTGAATAATCAATGGAGAAATTAATAAAAATTGTTGTTCATCATAATAGTCTCTTTTTTTTATATTAATAGTTATATTTAATTAAGGAATATAATTGTTTTTTATCGACCGGCTAAATGTGCAACTTGTCTTGTTTAATCATAATTGTGTCTACTTATGTTTTTTTCCCTTGTTTAATTGGGGGTTGTAGTTATCTTTTCATCTCAACTCAATCATAGAGTTCAAAATTCAGCCCAATGTAAATGGCAGTAAAATGGCCCCGTTATATTTCTCTCAACTTTAATACTCCTAGATGGTTTGGGTCTGGAACAACGCCGTCTTAATGGGCCCATAATTCCCTATTTGTCTTTTGAAAATCTTCGACCACAACTTTAATTAAGGAAATCTGTTACAATCAACTAATTTAAATAAATAAAATATGTATCTGATTTTAAAAGTTGGTAGATACATGTATCTCGCGGATACAAACTCATGTATCATAAACACAAAATATGGTAGAGGAAGTAATATTTGAAACTATCGAAAATCTTAGTAATTAGGACCTAAACTAGTGGGATTTATGAAGTTTGCCTTAAAAAAATTAATTGGATGTAACGGATTTCCTTAATTAGAGGAGTGATTGAAGATTTTCAAAATACATGGATAATTATATGATAATATTAAGATACATGATAGAAGACCATATATATATGACAAGACTTTGATTATGTTCGTAGTTGGTCAGGGCATCTCACCGCGGTGGTGTTTGGTTCACCTTTTGATTCATCGGTGTTGCTCACAGCGCCAAGATCCGATGGGAGAAGTTAGGCGAAGTTTCTTGGTTGGTCCATAGTATACAAGGTATGCAACCGGTACCATCGTCAATGTCGAATTTGATAAATCTATTGGGCTTGATATCTCTACTTACAACGATACCCATTGTCTCTGCGCGCAAGAGGTGTCTCCCCCTATGAGGAAAATTGGTGGATTCGTGGGGGATTGGTTTGAGAGTGAGAGAATCAAAGGCTAAAAGTTTGATGTGTGTGTGTTGACAAGTTGTAGAACATCCATTTTAATGAAGTGTTTCTTTCAATAAATTTCGACTGATCAAGGGAAGAGGAAGAGTTAGAGTTTGAGTTTTACCCCAACTCATACTCTCTGAGATAAATATATTTATTTTTAATTAAAGCACTAAATTTAGAGTTTAAATGTAAAGATAATTAATCAATCATAGTTTTAACTTTTAAGGGATATGAGTATTGATTGTATCTTTAATAATATATGGTACAAACTATTAAAAGTGGCAATATATGTAATCATTTGAAAGTAGAGATAATAATAAAATATGTATCTCAATTTTAAAATTTGATAGATACATGTATCTCGTATATCCTAAGCACGAAATATGACAGAGAAAGTCATTTTTTTAAAACCATCGAGAATCTTAGTAATTAGGACCTAAATTAGTGGGATTTATGAAGTTTGCCCTTTAAAAAAAAAGGAATATATCTCATCTAATATATTTAGGGAATACATATTCGACCAAACCTCCAATTAATAATGGATTCATAATCAATCGATAATAATTTATATAAAAATAATGCAAATCAATTGATATTAATCAGCTTATATAAATACTGTATGGAGGAAGTCACATGTGGTATGAAACTTTAATGAGATGCTATTCCGTGATTTATGAGATTGTTTCCATTTTTCAATTGAAATTACTGCCCATTTTCATAAAAACAAGAAAATTGAATTCCGAATTGTATAAATTATTTAAAACATGTGAAATATACAAATCGGAATACATGTAGCAATTGAAACTATAGCAACAACGCGTAATTAGGTAAACTATAGCTAAGGAGTAATAATTAAGATACTAAAATAACTATATGTGAAATTTCCCCGTTACAAAATAATCCTTTTTGATAATTTATTAGACAACTATATATTGCTTTTGTAATTATTTAAGCATTTTTCTTCAACATCATAATTCTCGTAGCCAAGCCTCCTAGATTTCAAAACACATGTAATCTTAGTTGCTACTATATTATTGTCACAATATTTTTGAAAAATTCATGATATTATCACTATTTTTCAATAATTATTGACCTATCACAAAAGCTCTTCATCATTAAGATATAAAAGATCTCAACCAATGTGAAACTAATGTAGTTGAGCTAGCTAGTGACTAAAGTTGAGTTATAAAAACTATTTTGTATCTCATTCCTATTAATTAACAATTTATTTTATCGTAGTTTCATTTAACAATTTTATATGAATGAATTTGATTGTAATACACTTAATACATGAAGTAAACTACTTCTGTATCATTCGAGAAAGTGGAGAAAAAAATATGAAAAAGTCAATAATGTATAATGTTACAAGAGAGTAACTTTGAAGATACCTGTTATTATTTGATATACAGGGGAGATCTATAGTATGATACTATATTATGTGAGTTCAGCACAATTTAATAGCTCTGGTCAATAATATATATATATATAAAAAAATAAAATATTAGGCATAAATTAATGACATTATTAAATTGAGAAGTCAATCGCAAAGTACAAAAATAGCCATAGTATGATTGGATGGTGGAAGGTAACCACGTTTGTATGTTATTATGCTCCATAGTCATCTTTCCATAACTGATTATTTAATCATTTATTTATTTTGTTATATATAATGCATTCAACCCAAATCACCACTCTATCTGCTATTTATTTTATAAAAAACTATAATCAATTTTAAAATTGTAAATATCAGGATAATAATTCTCAAAGTTCACTTTAGATGTTACTTGTTTCAATGCATCGAAATATTTTAATTTTAATTTTCTCGTTTTTTCATATAATTCTCAAAAAAGTTCATATATGGTGTGCTTGCATCACATTTATAACAATTTTCATGAAGTCTAGTTTATAAAAAATGGACCTCACAAGTGTCGGTTAATAAAAAAAAATCATACATTTTTTTCATGATAAAATAAAGTACTCTTTTGATCTTTTAAATAAAATATTATTACAAACAATAAATAAAATAATATTGCAAACGAATTAACTTTGTTTTTTTTTCCTTCGAAACTAAGACTACGATACCAAATAGTACATGCCATGGACATAGCTAAAGGTCTCTTGATCAACAATCTAATTAAATAAAAAAAAAAAAAAGATTAAATCACAATTAGTACAAAATTTTCATAAAACTTGAACAAAAATACATGAATTTTTTTCTCAACAATTCTCACACACACACACATATATATAATGAGAAAGGTACATGAAAAATTGTGTTTTACAAATTAAAATTAAATAATTCTAAAAAGAGTTATGGCAAGATATATTATAACTTGGAGTTATTTAAATATTTTATTCACTTTTAATTTTAACACGAAACAAAATTATTTCAAGTAGTTTTTTCCCACTATTAATGCACTCAATTAGTATCCAAGATTAATTAGTGTCCTTATTAAGAAAAATAAATTAAAATAAAATTGCATTAAAATAAATATTAATTTTTTTTTCCTATATATTTTATTTTAAAAGTCTTTTTCTAATTTTACTTTTCAATATATTGTAGGAATCTACATCGATTCTCCTAGTATCTATAATGATAAATTTACCTTTCACAATATATTTTAGGATTTAATTTTTTTTTCTTACCATGTATTTTAGAAGTCAATATTATAAAAATAATTAAATAATAATTCAAAAAATAATAATAAATTACTATTTTGTTTATGACAGACATTTTTAATGAAAAACCGAAAATTTAATCAACATTTCCAAATAGTTTGTTGCTAACTTGCTATCAATTGTATTTTAGATAATTATAAATATTGAAAATATATGCATAATAATTAATTAGAAATTGTCATTAAGAAATTTTTAATTAGTGCTAATAATAAATACAAAATTATTTACTTATATACTAACTAATAAGTAAGTACTAACCATAGTACCATAGTATAAGCGGCTAGAAGTTCCAAGCGCAGACGTTCATTCTGCTATTGATTGGTACTTGTCAGTTGTCACAATTAACATTTTACATCGCCTTCATTACTTCTGTTTTATCTCTTCCCAGGTATGTGTATGTATCTCCTTCATCTTTTCGGTTTACTTTCTATGTGTTCTACTGCTCTGCTTTTGGTTTGATCTCGAGTTATGTTTAATCTTGCCTCTTGCTCGAATTTTATTTATTTTCTGTGCGATTTTGGATGTATATGTGTTCGAATTGGACCTTTGTTTTTCTATATCGTTGTGTGTATGAATTGAATTTGGGGCTTTTTGCTTCTTTCGGTGTAATTTTGAGGTCCTTAGGCTTTAGGGTTGAACCTGCCTTGGGTGCAAGGACGAACTTAATCCAGGAATAGGATCTGTACATCTCGATGAAAAAGAAAGACATTTCTATTGAATTGAAGAGTTCGATACATACTAACCCTAAATTAAATGTCAAAATGAACATTAGAGCCAATTTTAAGTTATGTTTATACATTTGGCATTAATAACTTAATAGGTATTAATGAATGTTTATATAGAATCAAAACTCAACTACTTCAATCACTCTACAAAAGTGAAGGCTTTCATCTTTTAAATATATGCTATTTTTCTATTCATTTTCACGAATGATCTCCATTACAAAAAGGAATTAGAAAAATGAAGAGTAGGATCTCCAAAGTGTAATATTTGAATTACATATCTTCATCAGTACTTTCTTTTTAAAAAAAATAATAAACGGATGGGTCAAGCCCATTTATTAAGAAAAAAACACAGTACACTAAAAACCAGGCCCAATCAAGAGCCCAGTCCAAAATCTATTCTAACAAGGGAAACAAAATGAAACAAAGAGGGAACAAATTAGGAAAGGGGAAAAGGGAATCGGGTAAGCATAGTTCTCCATTGCAACCCTAACAGAGACATCTTCATCAACATTCTGTGCTCCAGCCTCGGAGACCTTCTCCAGCAGTAGTAACAACTCTGTCTACATCAAATTTGGGTGTATTTCATATCAAACGTTAACTCGTCTCACTAACGTCATGAAATCATCCCAATCGGAGACTTCTCCAACTCAATGCATTTGGTCGAAACTTCAGTCAGGTGATGGTCTCCCCCTTTTGAATATAATCGCTGGCATTTTTCTCAGTATTTACCTAATACAAACTGTGTATCATGTATCCTTTAGCTTTGACAGGTTGAGCTCATCAGGTAGCTAATACCACTGTCAAAAGCCTTAGGAAACAGCTACATCAATCTGCCTCAGGTAATCTTCGACTTCTGTGAATCATCGCATCTCCATTTTTACCATGTATCTCAGTACTTTAGCTTAGCTCTCTCCAGTCATATTGTCCACAATTGAATGAACTTAAACCGGATAAACTAAGGTTTCCTGATAATGTATCATCCATCATGTGTATAAATTCGATTCTGTAACTTTCTTATTCGTAAGTTAGGAATTTTCCTTTTGTCCATGTTTAATATAGTCTTAGCTTCTTTAGGTAAAGCCTGGAAGTCATTATAACTTATGCTATCTGTACCTGCAACAGAAAAAACAATGTTAGCCATAAAATCTGCCAGCTTGTTTCCTTCTCTCTGGTATGCTCAATGGCCACCTCCAACCCTTCCTTAAGAACTTGTGTTCTTCTTATCTCCATTGTCACCTCCCAAGGAATGTGCCACGCCCCTTCTACCATATTCTCGACAGCCAGTGAATCTGTTTCCATTATCAATGGAAATAAATTGTGATACTTACAATATTCTAGCCCAAGTCTCATAGCTACAATTTCAGCTATTAGATTGTTAGACACTCCAATCATCTTTCCTTCAGCATGTAAAAGATTGCCATGACCATCTCTAATACAGAAAGCAAAAGAACTTGGTCCAGGATTACCTTTTGAAGCCCCATCTGTATTGCACTTGTAAGTATCCACCCTAGGCATTTTCCAATAAACCACCTTACAACATATCTTAGGGGTATACTCTGTCAAATATCTTACCAATTCAGGCCAATTATTAGGTAGGTTCTGTATCCATGGATATAACTGCTTAGCCAATAGGATTAAGTTTTTGCCTATACCTCCCCTCATATTCAGATAAGACATTGAGCCACCAAATTTCAAAGTATTTCTTCTCTTCCATACTTGCCAAAAAATGAACATGGGCACAGCCATTATCACTGGCTTTAGTTTTGCAGATACTTTTGCATTCCACCATTTATACACACTATCTTTCAAATGCAAAAAAGGTCCATCCACTCCTGCTGTACCTGCAAAATATCCCCATATTGAATTGGTACTTGAACATCTTATAAATAGGTGTTCAATAGTCTCCTGAACTCCATCATCACAGCAACCACACACCACCTCATCACACATTCTATTCCTGACCAGAACTTCCCCAATAGGAAGTCTTTTTTTCCATAGCCTCCAAGTGAAGAAAGATATCTTAAAAGGAATTCCAGTATACCAGATATTCTTGAAATTTGTACTTATTCCCGCAGTTCATCACTAAAATAATAAACAGAGAAATTTAATGGTTAGGACTTCCCAATAATAGAGGGAAGTAGATGAACCCACCATAAGCTCACCCACCTTATCATTTCTGGATCATTCATTTCTCGTGATTTCTTAATTAATCTCCTTCTGTTGGTATGATCATATATAACTTTAAAAAATAAATAAAAAAAAATGATGGATTACTACAAATGTTAGCCAAACTACTCAATTAGTTTCAATCCACAAAGTTAAGTAGACGCATTTTCTTAAAATTAAAGTTTGATCTTGATGGCTCTTTACTTTATGAAAGTGTCACGTGGTCGAAACTTCAAGTAAAAGAGACATTTGGTATCCCGTGGCTTTCGTTCACTAATTCTCCCTTTCCTTTTTTGTTTTTTGCCCTTCTTTATAGTTTATAGTAAGCCCTTTAATCAACCAAAAAAACAGTTTGTTTAATAATCTTACATAACTCGAACAGACCATTAATTCATAACCATATGGTCTTCCTTAGTGATTGCAGAAAATTGCAGTTCTATATACAAGAAAGATAGGGTCAACAGGGAAACTTCAAAGATAAGATGATATTTCTGGCAAATATATGTACTTAATGAAATATATAGGAGGACATACAAGGAGATCACAAAAAAAGAAACAGAAAAAAGGAGAAGCATGATTTCACAAGATGGAAAAAACAGAAATTTTGTTGATGGTGTTCAAACTTTAAAGAAGTAAAATAAACATTTGATGAATGGGTGTACTGACAAGGAAACAATATTTTCTTCTTAGTTAGTGTACCAAGGCGAGGCGAATCTAAACCCCTTAATTAGCTAGCTTAGTTTTCCCTCTTTTCAATGTGTATCCGATTCTCCATTTCTTTTTCGCCAACACCTTTTAGCTTTCCCTTAGCTACTACTTTTTCCCCGTCCACGCTCAATCCGAGTAATTATTGTGCCTGCTCTAATTCTTGTTACCAACCACACATTGTCTAATAAAATCGAATCCTCTCATGATATGTTCCTTGCATAATCCGATTTGGGAGGATTCTTCTTCCAACTAACAAAGAGATCTTGATAGAATTGCCACATATGAATTGAGCACAATTTGCAAAGAAATAGCCCACTTGGTTCTTGAGAAGAGAGGGAAACATACTGAGATTTTCTCCAATTGTATATCACCCAAACACTTCTTTAATTATATTAATTGTCTTGCCAAGTTAAGAGAGGATTTGCGGCTTAGGTCGCAGGTTCAAGCCTCACACCACGCAAAGCGAAGCCTGGTATTTAAGTGGAGAAGGGTAGAGGGGCGGTCACAAACGGATTTCTCGGTTATAAAAAAAAAACCTTTAAATTTTTGAAATAAAACTTTGAAATTTTATACAAGTTATATAATTGCAAGTTTTTTGACTTGTAATTTCTAAACTTGCAATTTGCATGTAGTATATTTAACAATTTTGTATAATAATAATAATAAATTACCATACTAATATCCTATAATCCCCCCCCCCCCCCCCCCCCCCCCCAAAAAAAAAAA